CCGAGGTGGCCCCTGAGGTGGAGTCGCGCGAGGTGGAGCTGCCGGTGGCTAGCGAGGAGGTGGTACCAGAGGCTGTACCAGAAGCCGTACCAGAAGCCGTTTCTGAGGCGGAGGTGGCTGCCGCAAGTGCCGAGGTTGAGGAGGAGGCCGCCCCCGCACCCGTGGCGGAGGTGGAGGCCCCCAAGGCCGAGGAGGCTGTGGTCGAAGAGGCCCCCGCAGTGGCGGCGGAAGAGGAGGCCGTGGCTGAGGAGGCCGCTGCCCCTGTGGTGGAGGAGGCGAAGGAGGCCGAGGTCGTGCCGGAGGTTGCAGAGCCAGAGGCACCAGTGGCGGAGGCGGCTGCGCCCGAGGCAGCCGTCGCTGAGGAGGTGAAGGAGGCCGAGGCCGCCCCCGAGGTGGCCCCTGAGGTGGAGTCGCGCGAGGTGGAGCTGCCGGTGGCTAGCGAGGAGGTGGTACCAGAGGCTGTACCAGAAGCCGTACCAGAAGCCGTTTCTGAGGCGGAGGTGGCTGCCGCAAGTGCCGAGGTTGAGGAGGAGGCCGCCCCCGCACCCGTGGCGGAGGTGGAGGCCCCCAAGGCCGAGGAGGCTGTGGTCGAAGAGGCCCCCGCAGTGGCGGTGGAAGAGGAGGCTGTGGCTGAGGAGGCCGCTGCCCCTGTGGTGGAGGAGGCGATGGAGGCCGAGGTCGTGCCGGAGGTTGCAGAGCCAGAGGCCCCAGTGGCGGAGGCGGCTGCGCCCGAGGCAGCCGTCGCTGAGGAGGTGAAGGAGGCCGAGGCCGCCCCCGAGGTGGCCCCTGAGGTGGAGTCGCGCGAGGTGGAGCTGCCGGTGGCGAGCGAGGAGGTGGTACCAGAGGCTGTACCTGAGGCTGTACCAGATGCTATGGTTGAGGCTGTTGTTTCGACCGAATTTCCGTTTGAGGAAGCAGCCGTTCCTTTGGGTGCTGCTTCAGCGGTTGGGGTTGTTTCTGGTGTTAATAAGTCTTCTTCATGTTCTTCGGATGTGGTTGTTCCGGCGATTGCGTTTTCTGAGTTTGGTTTTTATGGATCGAGCTCGTCGTCGGGATTTGGAGATGTTGGTGAGAATGTTAATTCCGTTTGGAATCTTCCATTTTTGAAGAAGAGGCCTGTGGAGGTTGCGGCGAAGAGAACTGATGAGTTTCTTCAGCAGGTTAAAACTAAGGTGAACAAGGTGGTTGGGCTTCCTTGGCCTCCGGCGCCTTTGTCAGCAGCCAGTTCGATTGGTACAGATGAATCTATGGAATGTGGTGTTGGTGAGGCTGGTGAGTTTTCTTTGATTTTTGCCTTACACATCTCTTGTTCTGGTATTGTGCTGTCTTTCTCTTTTATTATAGATTTTTCTTTTTGTTTTTTAACATTAATGGATTTGTTTTAGTATCTTCTTGTTTGTTTTCTTGATTGTTTCGTAACATTTTAAATATTTGTTTCTTGGCAGAAACGGGGGAATTTATTTCGGTGGAAGAGGCCCAACCGTATGCGTCGTTAAGTTCCGAGGTCTCTGTTGAGTCTGCTGAAAAGGACCTTAGCGGTACTACTGGGACTGTAGACATTTCTAAGGTGATTCACTCTCTTGAGAACGGATCCAACTTAGTGGTCGATGGTGGCGATGATTCAGCAGCTGCTGCATCAGCTTGATCTTTATTTTGTTAGTATATTTGTGTCTTCTATATGAGTTGAGAAATAGTTTTTATTTGGAGTGGAGTTTGTGGTATGCACGTGTTCATAACCACTGTTTCCTTTCAATAATAAATTCGGTATTGTAGATTATCTTTTTATCGTCTCGTTTGAATATTATTGTCATATCTCCTGGGAGTGTTGATGTTGCTTTTCATTGGTCTGAGTTTTTCTTGTGTTTATGGTTGTGTGTGGCGATTTAATATGATTGTATTGTTTTACTGGTTGATCTTTTTGCTGTTACTCTTTAGTTTGTGGTTGTTGGTGATGTGTTATTTGTTTATCCATGAAGTTTTTTGAACTCTGATATCTCCTGGTATTTGATTCCTAGTATAGAATATGAATTTCCGGCATATTTTCGTATTTCTCGCCCTCAATGTACTTGCATTGTGGTATGCTTTAGCCAATTCTTTAATGCATCTGTTTCAGTTTTGTCTGCACGACCTTCAAATTGTATTTTTTGTACTTTTTCATTTTAAACTTCATGCTTACTTTTTTATCAATTGCAGAGGAAGTAAAGTTTAAGTGAGTGTTGTATATAATGTGAGCATCAGATTTGTATCTTAATGTATTGTAACTCTGTGCATCGCAATCCCTTACTTTTGTGAACATTTATGAACTTTTATCCCAATTTAGTTTTTTTCGTTGGATTATGTGTCCAGAGAAGGGAACCATGTTAATTCCGACTTTTGATGCAGCGTCAATGTTTATGGGAATATTTAGATATCGTCATGATCTTTTTAGTTGAAGAATTTTTTTGTTTGCATCAGGTTTACCTCTAATTTATTCCATTGCTGTTGACTAGACTTGTCAAGTGCTTACGTATCATTGGACATTCTGGTTGTGTGTTAAATACGAACATGCTCTACGTAATTCAGGCTAATGAATGTTGTGTATGTACCTTTCTATTTGTCTCAAGATGATGTCCACATTGATCTGCATCTTTCATTTTCCCTCATGCCACCTACACATGTTGCAAATACTCAATTATATATATATATATATATATATATATAGTGTGTGTGTGTGTGTGTGTGTTCTTTAATTGATTTAAATCATCCATTATAGAAAAAAATATTAATTATTAGACGTTATTTAATCACCCATGGTTGAAAACAAGACAAAAAATCATTGTTTGAGGGACCTGCAATTTAGCTTGCTTTTGAACTTACAGTCACATGGCACGGCAAGGCCGTGTGGCCTTGTCAACCATGTGGCCTCTTTTAATCACCTTTATTAATTAATATAAGTGAAGGGAAATCAATTAATGATTACAAATCAAATTTTATTAATTATACACCATGGAAAAAATTGGGCTCTCAAAATTTTGATTGAATGCTGAGGATTATTAATTTTAAAAGAATTAATCAACAAAGAAATATAAATTTTTTTATTTATTTCAATGTGGATTTTAATTTGCAAATTTGGATTTGAAATCACTTTGCCAAAAAAATTTAAATTGTTTTGCAACCATGGCGTTGCTTTATAAATCTCTATACTACTATTTCTCTATTTATATTATGAGAATAATGATTGCACTGCTTTTTGATTTAAAGGAATTTAACATCTTCAATAAATCAAACACTTATACCAAATATAATTAATTTCATATTACAGCTCGTAAGTCGGCTGGCACATCCACGTATTCGGCTTATTTGAATGACTATAAGATTCTTTAAAATTCATTACACTTTTAACATTTTGAAAATTAAAGCTATAATTTCAGGTTTCGGTTATATGTTTTCGACTATAAATAGTAAAACGATATTATAGAAGATTGCTATGATATAAGAGTGTAAAATTTAGTCATTAAATTCAAGAATTAAAAAGCAATATGAAACTAAAAGTCATTTGAGATAAGGAAGGTTCGGACAATTTTACACGATAAATCAATCATTAAGTTTCATACGAAATTATTTTAAAATTAACATGAAGAAATGTCCAACAATGTAATCAAAAAGAATATTGTTAGTTAATTTTTTGAGATTAAAGATGGTAGACTTTCATTTTTTCTTCTTTGATTGCTCCTATCTTTCTAGAGGATCAATTTAAATGACTTGAATCTCACCAAATATCATATCAGTACGAAATGTAGACATTCAACAACGTTCACATGAAGTAAAGCAAAATTTTATTGGATACCAACCACCAAATGTGTTCTCATACAGTCAGACAATTGAGCTTTCCAGAAATTTTAAATAATGACATATGTTTACATACACACACATACTTATGTACTTGAACCTTTAAGATTCTTACAAAATATTCAATAAAACATTACAAAGAGTTTATTTCTGTTTTTATTTAAGAAGATTTTGTTGTAGTTCCAGAAATTAAAATTTTAATTTCATCTCTTTTCAATATACTTCATTTCAATCAAATGTGATACAATCTTCGTTTTTTTTTAAAAAAAACCAAAACAGAATATCTTGGATTTGATAATACTCTAAATCTTAAAATTTAACATCGAAAGAAACCCCACAAATACTACGTCAACCAGTGTGAAACCATCATCTTCTTACATGACTACAATCCCAAACCTTTTTTTTTTTTTTTTTTTTTGAATATTCAATAAAACATTACCACCCAAAACCCGCGGTGCATCCACAACAACTAGTTTAATGGTTCATAAAATTGGTAAGGGATATGCATAGATCTGTATTTAAAACAGAAGCGAAGCGTCAGAAAGTAATATGCTTCTAAAGCAATAGGAACTTCATGGTCCCACAGACTATAACAATCTGCATTTAACAGATCGTCCTGAGGAATGAATGCTGTCTAAAATCAGAAACATTACAGGGATCACATCCCACAAGAGCGCGACAGTTGATACCAACGCCTGAGGTTTTCAGAAATGAAGTTTCACGTAAGGCTCTTTCCTGGTGATGACATACTTTTACAGCAAGTGTGGATACGACCCCTCTGGAAGGATCTCACTCCTCCAATATTCCGATTCAATAATTCTTTTCTCGAGACTAGCAATTGTTGAAATGCAAGCGAGTCATGGGAAATTCCGGCAGTAGATCGCGCAAGTCCACGAGCTCGAGTCTGTACCTTGCAGACAGTCCTTCAGGCAGACTCAAACAATCGGCACATGAGGCTGCTAAAATAAAATAAAGTATCATGTATTGAGGAGACGTGCCGAAGAAGCTGAATGGAGCTCTAGAGGTGGTATAAAAGGATTTGGAGCTAAAATTTACAACAGGAATTGGAGCTTTCGTTTCTTGGTGAGTTGCCTTAAGTTGGTAATCGTGAGGTTGTTGAGGTTGTCGACGTTCTGAATTGCGGTAGTTTAGGCTTGTGCTGGAGCCAGGTTTTGGCGCTCGAAAGATTGGAATTAGTCGCAATTTTCTTGAAACATTCGAAGGGTGCTGTGTAGAGGTTTGTCCTACGAAGTTGTCTTGAATTTCGCCAGAATTCCTTGCTAAATTGCCTGCAAAGTTTTTCGCCATGTCTTTCAACAACAGTAGAACCTTGAACCATAGACGCAACAACCACGACGCCGTCCCGCGCGGGTTGCTGACTCCATCGGTGTTTACTTCTAGCTTTACTGCTGAGGGATGTAGTAGTGATGGCAACCAAGTTGTGGCGAAGTACTCGATGCACGAGCCGACTGAGGAGAATGCACACGTCCACATGCTGCTGGATGCCTCGGGATCTACCACTGAAGCAGTGAAGAAGGGTGATGGCAGGCAAGTTTGGGAGCATCTTTTCGAAAACTTCGGGAAAGTGGTCAAGTCCAAAGATACAGGCTTTCGTCCCCACGACAAGATCTGTGTATGGTCGTTCAATAGGCAGACAAAACCGTTGTGCGAAGTTCTCCATGAAGACTTCGCATCGAAGGAGGACGGCATTAAGGCCATGTACAAGAAGCAGATAAATGAAGGCACTGATTACCTTGAAACGCGCTTGTACGATGCAGTTGCAACGGTGACGGAAAAGATTCGTGAAGAACACGAGAAGCACAAGAAAGCAGACTTCTTCCTGGTGGTATTCACCGACGGGATGGACAACGTCAGCGAAAAGGTAACTTTGCAAGATATGATGATCGGTATCCAAAGGATCAACGGTAGACTGCACACGTGCTTCATTACGGCAAACATGAAGCCGGATACCGACTTGCATAAGCAGTTGAACGATGGCAAGATCGAGATTGTACTCATAAAAATTGAGGACACAGCGCTTAACAGTATTGTCGAAGCTTTCAATACTTTTCGAAGTTACATCAAGGTTACTTTGGAGGTTTTCATGAAAAGAGGCAACAACATGACGATGACAAGAATCGCGCACTATGGCCCCGATAGAACTTCGGTGGCAGAGGATATGGCGAGGTTGTTATCAGAAGGAATGCATACATCGTCGTTAACAGATGTTTGGTGCAGTCTGGATAGTCTCCGTCTGACCTGAATATATAAATACCCCAGATTAGCATACGAGTTGGATGATCTACGCTGCCTGCTATCTTAGGAATGTATAACAGGTATCTTTGTAGGAATCAATTTTCTGTAATGTATGAGGAAAAGAAACCAAAAGTAAAGAAAAACGTAGAAAAAGAAAAACAGGAAAGAAAGTTCACATCCCTCAAAGGTAGAAATTATAGGAAAAAACAAAATCCCTAAAAGGTAAGCAAAATCAATCTAAAAATTAGTTAATTGTGGAATTACAAAAAGATCTTTTTGACTAGGATCTTAGTTCATTCGAACCTCACCTCCTTGAGAATAGGTCACTCATGCCTTCTTGTAAGTTGTAGGCCATAACAAAAGATGAATTTCTTTTGGAATGTTTGTAGGAATAAGAAGCTATAATCTTAGCTCTTGAGGATAACAAAGATCTATAATATTTGAGAGAGCATGAAACTTCTTAAAGATTTAATATTAAAAATTATTTTTTTATTTATATTTTAAGATTAATATAGATTTTTTTTTGTAATTGCCACAAACATACATATTAATACCAATATTTATTTAGATAAGAAGAATTTGGTAGAAATAGGTAAATTTGATAATATCTTGTGAAGAAGTTTTATAGACTCAGATTTGATTTCTTAAGTGTTTGTAGGTGATTGATAGATTTAAAACTTGGCTAACAAGTTAGCCATG